GGTTTTTTGAGGTTCCTTCCTTAGAACTATTCAAAAGTGATCTTTGATGAGGCAACAGTTTCATTTTACTTTTAAACGGTTCACTATTTTCTAAGATTCTTCTACTCCCCCAAAAATTCTGACGACTCCCAAGGTTTTTTGAGGTTCCTTAAAAGTATTCAAAAGACCTTTGATGTCGCAATATTTTTGATCCCATTTTGCAACACCCCAAAAAATTCTAAGGATTTTACAAGAGTTTTTGAGGTTCCTTAAAAGTATTCAAGTGACCTTTGATGATACTCCACAAGGTTTTTTGAGGTTCCTTCCTTAGAACTATTCAAAAGTGATCTTTGATGAGGCAACAGTTTCATTTTACTTTTAAACGGTTCACTATTTTCTAAGATTCTTCTACTCCCCCAAAAATTCTGACGACTCCCAAGGTTTTTTGAGGTTCCTTAAAAGTATTCAAAAGACCTTTGATGTCGCAATATTTTTGATCCCATTTTGCAACACCCCAAAAAATTCTAAGGATTTTACAAGAGTTTTTGAGGTTCCTTAAAAGTATTCAAGTGACCTTTGATGATACTCCACAAGGTTTTTTGAGGTTCCTTCCTTAGAACTATTCAAAAGTGATCTTTGATGAGGCAACAGTTTCATTTTACTTTTAAATGGTTCACTATTTTCTAAGCATTCTTCTACTCCCCCAAAAATTCTGAGGACTCCCAAGGTTTTTAGAGGTTCCGTAAAGGCTTTGAATTGATCATTGATGATCTAAATTTTTTCAAAAGACCATTTTACTCTTAAATGGTTCATGCATTTTTAAGAACTTTCAACGCCCCTAACCATTCGGAAGACTTCACAAGGTTCCTTAAAAGTGTTCAGGTGACCTTAAATAACCCAATATTTTTTAAGTCCATTTTTCAACATTCTTCAGCACTGGGACTTTTTGAGGTTCCTTAAAAGTATTCAACTGACCTTTGATGACTATATTTTTTAAGCTCAGTCTGTGAAATGATTTATGATTTTCTAAGACTCATTAACACCACCAAAAATTCTAAGGACACCATAAGGTTTTTTGAGATTCCTCAAAAGTATTCAAAGACTTTTGATGTCGCAATACTTTTGAGCCCATTTTGTCCCCAAATAGTTCACGATTTTTAAGACTCTGCAACACCCCAAAAAATTCTAAGGATTTTACAAGACTTTTTGAGGTTCCTTAAAAGTATTCAAGTGACCTTTGATGATGAGAATTTTTTTAACTATTTTACTATCAAATGGTTCTTGATTTTTTAAGACTCTTTAACACCCCAAATAATTTCTGAGGATCCCAGAGGGTTTTTTGATGTTCCCAAAACCATTCAAGAGATTTTCGTGATTTTTTAAGATTCTTCAAAATCCTAAAAAATTGCAGAGTACTCCGCAAGGTTTTTTGAGGTGCCTACCTTAAAACTATTCAAAAGTGATCTTTGATTAGGCAACTGTTTCATTTTACTTTTAAATGGTTCAATATTTTCTAAGATTGTTCTTCTCCCAAAAATTCTGACGACTCCCAGGTTTTGTGAGGTTCCTTAAAAGTATTCAAAAGACCTTTGATGTCGCAATATTTTTGAGCCCATTTCGTCCCCAAATAATTCAAGATTTTTAAGACTGCAACACCCCAAAAAATTCTAATGATTTTACAAGAGTTTTTGAGGTTCCTTAAAAGTATTCAAGTGACCTTTGATGATGCGAATTTTTTTAACCATTTTACTATCAAATGGTTCTTGATTTTTTAAGACTCTTTAACACCCCAAATAATTTCTGAGGATCCCAGAGGGTTTTTTGATGTTCCCAAAACTATTCAAGAGATTTTCTTCATTTTTTAAGATTCTTCAAAATTCCAAAAAATTGCAGAGTACTCCACAAGGTTTTTTGAGGTTCCTTCCTTAGAACTATTCAAAAGTGATCTTTGATGAGGCAACAGTTTCATTTTACTTTTAAATGGTTCACTATTTTCTAAGCATTCTTCTACTCTCCCAAAAATTCTGAGGACTCCCAAGGTTTTTTGAGGTTCCGTAAAGGCTTTGAATTGATCATTGATGATCTAAATTTTTTCAAAAGACCATTTTACTCTTAAATGGTTCATGCAATTTTAAGAACCTTCAACGCCCCTAACCATTCGGAGGTTTCATAAGGTTCCTTAAAAGTGTTCAGGTGACCTTTAATGATCCAATATTTTTTAAGTCCATTTTTCAACATTCTTCAGCACTGAGACTTTTTGAGGTTCCTTAAAAGTATTCAACCGACCTTTGATGACTATATTTTTTAAGCTCAGTCTGTGAAATGATTTATGATTTTCTAAGACTCATTAACACCACCAAAAATTCTAAGGACACCATAAGGTTTTTTGAGATTCCTCAAAAGTATTCAAAGACTTTTGATGTCGCAATACTTTTGAGCCCATTTTGTCCCCAAATAGTTCACGATTTTTAAGACTCTGCAACACCCCAAAAAATTCTAAGGATTTTACAAGACTTTTTGAGGTTCCTTAAAAGTATTCAAGTGACCTTTGATGATGAGAATTTTTTTAACTATTTTACTATCAAATGGTTCTTGATTTTTTAAGACTCTTTAACACCCCAAATAATTTTTGAGGATCCCAGAGGGTTTTTTGACGTTCCCAAAACTATTAAAGAGATTTTCTTGATTTTTTAAGATTCTTCAAAATTCCAAAAAATTGCAGAGTACTCCACAAGGTTTTTTGAGGTTCCTTCCTTAGAACTATTCAAAAGTGGTCTTTGATGAGGCAACAGTTTCATTTTACTTTTAAATGGTTCACGATTTTCTAAGCATTCTTCTACTCCCCCAAAAATTCTGAGGACTCCCAAGGTTTTTTGAGGTTCCGTAAAGGCTTTGAATTGATCATTGATGATCAAAATTTTTTCAAAAGACCATTTTACTCTTAAATGCTTCTTCTGTTCATGATTTTTCAAGATTCTTCAGCACTGAGGCTTCTACAAGACTTTTTGAAGTTCCTTAAAGTATTCAACTGACCTTTGGTGACAATATTTAAAGTTATTTTACTGTGATTTTCTAAAGTTCATTAACAACACCAAAAATTCTGAGGACTCCACAAGGATTTTTGGTGTCTCCAAAACTATTCAAGAAACCTTCACAGTTTTTTAACAATCCCAAAATATTGCGGAGGGCTCCACAAAAATTTTTGGGGGTTCCTTTCAAGAATCAAGAGACAATTGATGATGCAATGTTCTTTAAGTCCATGTCACTCTTTAATAGTTCATGATTTTCCAAAATTCTTCAACACCCCAAAAAATTTGAGGACCCCACCAAGTTTTGATTTTTTAAAATGTTTCAAAATCTCAAAAAATTGCGGAGGACTCCACAATGTTTTTTTGAGGTTTCTTAAAAGTATTCCAGTGACTTTTTGATGACACAGTATTCTTTAAGGCTTCTTAAATTGTTCATGATCTTTTAAGATTCTCTAAAACCCCAAAAATTTCTGAGGACTCCAAAAAGTTCCTTAAAAGTACTCAAAAGACCTTTAATGACGCATTTTAAGCTTATTTTGTTCTCAAATGGTTCACGATAATTAAGACTCTGCAACACCCCAAAACATTCTGAAGACTTCACAAGATTTTTTGAGTTTCCTTAAAAGTATTCGAAAGACCTTTGATGACGCAATAACTTTTAAACAATTTTACTGTAAACTGATACATAGATGATTTTCCAAGGTTCTTCAACCCCCCCAAAAATTCTGAGAGCCCTACATGGTTTTTTGAGGTTTCTTAAAACTATTCAAGTGACTTTACCCGATTTACAAAACGCCATCTATCTTTAGCGTAACACAACGAAGTTGGGGTAACGCTTATGTGCGAGATCTCGGCCCCTGTTCCACGTAGAGACTTCGGGTTTTCGCTAATTGATAGCTGCTATGGTCTATATTTGCCCGTTGCTGATCATTTACAGTGGGTTTTGAAACATTTTTTAAACATCTCAAGATTGAGGAGGATAACGAGATGCATTGTTTACATATTCGGTCAATTATACTTGGCAAGCAACCGTTTTGCACCAACTGCGCGATCGATGACTAAATCAGTTATTAATTGTTTAAAAATTGAATCCAATCGCAATAATTGATACTTCATTCATTAATTAAAAACGACAGAGTGAGAGCGTTCCGTTTTGTACGTCAATCGATGGCAAATGAAGTCGTAGTCAATTTTACATCGAACCGCTTATTACAAAGCGACGTTATTAATAAAGCATTTTCGAAAATAGTAAATAAGATATTAATACTTCCCGAGTTGATAGATTTGTTGAAGGAAAATCGATAGCGGAATTTGTTCCTCGTTAATAGAATTATTAAACGCCCCATCAACCGAAATTTTCTGACCTCCCAGTCTAACGAACGGTAGCCAGATATCACCAAAAAAGAAAAAGGCAATTAAGATATCAAAACACCGATTTCCACTTAGAACCGAGCCACCGTGTGTTAGATTTCAATTACAGCACGATAGTGTAATGGCGACCTTCTCTAAATTGAGGTTATGTAATGGGTAAAGAGGTGTGTGTGGTCGATTTCGGTCGCGGTCTTCCTAATTGCGTACAGAGTAACGGTCGTCGCGAAGGGGTGGTTTTTAAAGAATAACGTTTGTAATACGCCGTATCAACTTGTAGATCCACGAAATCGCATTATAACAATTCATAGCGTCATACCGCATTGTATCCCCTTACGCTCGGGAAGCTTTTAACAACCCCTGCCCTTTAAGCGCCCCGCGCTCTCCTGGGGGTGAAACGTATCTTTAATCTCGAGATGCGTCCGCGGTGAACAATTTGGAAATATCCGAGAGATCGCCGTTTCAAAGGGAAACCAGACCAGTGGCGTGCATCGTCTAATTAGCGCAAGGACCACCGGGAGTTGTGTACGGTCGAGTGTTAAAACTCGGAATTAGTCACTTTTAAGATTGCCGTCGATAGCTTTCCGAATTTATAGTCGAAAGTAGAGTTCCATGTCTTTTATCTTAATTACACGGATCGAGGTGATCCGCCGCTTCGACAACAATCTCGAACAGAAGCCACCGATGACGGGAGCGAAGGAGACGAAAAAAGGTCTTTATTTATCTAACACTGGTCCCCCATTAACAGTTGTTTGCGAAGTTCAACACACCATCGCATTAATCCGTTCGGTTCCCGTCGACGTGTCCGGAGCCACCGGTTTTTTTTTTAATAAAAAAAATAAGAACGTACAATACTTACAAAGCCGTGCTTGTCGGAGATGTTGTTCGTCAGCTTCAGCTTGTGAAAAGACACGACTTTCTGCATCCACTGCTCCCCCGTCGACGGACTATCGGGGTGGATGTACATCCTCTTCGGCATTTCCGGATCGGCCTTGCCGGCGACCATCCACCGGCTTCAAAGCAAAACAAAAATTAGTCGGGGCGCGCGGGCGCACAAAAAACAACACACATGCACACATGCACTTCCAAAAGTTCTCAGATTAACTCTCAATTACGCATGCTTCGTGCCTTTGAGTCAATACAAATTCGGGCGTCTGTTTCTCAAAAACGGTCCGAGTCAAAGCGTCACCGAAAGAGAGAGAGAGAACCAAAAAAAAACGACGAAAAACAAACACCCGAACGTTAAGAGACAGCACAAGTAATAATTTTGACAGAACAAAAAATTGATCTAACCTGTTGTGGAACTTATATCTGCAATCGTCTGTCGCAACGATGTCCATAAGGAGTATGTATTTGGATTTTTTGTCTAAACCCGAGACGCGGACTTTGAAGGCAGGAAACATGCGCCTGAAAGAAACGTCCACCTTGTAATTGCGTGTAAATGTTATGTTCACCTGTTATGGAATTTGTATCGGTAATCGTCCGCTGCGACTATGTCCAAAAGAAGTATGTATTTCGCTTTAAGGTCCAGGCCAGAGACTCGGAACTTCATTTGGGGAAACATTTGCCTGGAAGATAAATCGTATGCTGTATACAAGTTTCGCGCGCTTTGAGTCTGCAAGAGAATTTCGCAACACCAAAACCGGTTAACAATAAAATAAACGCCGATATTAGGTAGCACAAAAATAGCACAAAATTTGTAGTCAACGGACCTAACTGAAGTATGTCGTAGCACAAAGTTACACAAAGATAGCACAAAATTGGGAATCGGCCGGCTAATTGGGGGTGAAACTAGACGTGTCACGAAGTTGTAGCACAAAATTAGCACAAAGCTTAATGCAACTGATTTTTTAAATGTTTGTATGGCGTCGCGTGGTACATGTACACTGTATAGAGCACGAAAATGTGGTTCGGCTGCTGCAATGGCGGTGGAAGAACAAACCACTCTGTAGGTATAGCAACGCATCTAGCAGTTGTAGCACAAAATTATTTTTAATGATGTCGCCAGCAGAAACTCATCTCAGATTCCACATAAATGGAAGTGATAGAAATTTAGTTTACAAATAGCACAAAATTAGCACGAACTATAAAACGATGCAAGTATTTTCAGTGAAATTGTGAATTGTGATACAAAATATTCATCAGTGCTTCAACTTGAAACACCCACAGACGTGGGAAGCACAAGAATTTGATTTACAGCTAGCACAAAATTACCAGATATTCGAATTACAATTAAGAGATGCTTAGAGCTAGCACAAATTTCTATTGCAACAGAAATTCCTATATTCGTATTACGCACAAAGTTTCATTGTCATAAAATGTGTTCCGGCATGCATGAGCACAAAATTGTCAGTAGGCATACGAAAGTGAAATAAAAATTAACGCCACAAGAAGCAGCAAGAAATTCATTTCAAGTTAGCATAAAAGTAGCACAAAAATTTTTTTCACAACGGAAGTTGAAGTGTTTTGGTAAAGTCACGAACTAAAAGAAAAGGTAGTAACCGAGAAGGAGAGGATTCCTCGTAAGCAGTTTGGCACTCGAGGACTTCTCGGGCCATAACATACACTTTGCCATCAAATCCATTCTACTTATTTCGAGCAACTAAATAAATTATCGCAATCATGGTGTTGTGTTATATAGAACTCATGTTCAAGAAGTTCAACGTGGTTCTACATACCCACCCCCAAAGTAAGGACGAATTCGTAAAAAATCTCGCTGTTAAAGTTGCTTTATGCCGAACTCGCTTTCCGCTCTAGGAAAATCACATTCGGTTCGACTTTCGTGGACCATATCTGCTTCGTGTCGGTATTGATTAAGTCATAGGTTCCCTATTACTAATAGACAGACCATTGAGGAGCTTTAAGGGTTGTAAGTGCCTTTGGAAATCAAATTTTTTCAAAAGCCCCCAGGATCAAAAGCACAGCACAGTTTTCATGTATTGTATTGTGGAGCACATCAGAGAGGACAGGATTTTGGCACAATCAATACGATTACGTAATAGACCATGGGGTTCTGGAGGGTATGTAGTACTCCCCCGCTTCCAAAAAACCACAAACTTGGAGAAAGATGAACAGATCCTTTTCTCCACAAAAGTATGGCATAGAACGGAGTCCCGGGAGGGGGGGGGGGGGGGGGGGGGGGGGGGTATGAAATACTCCCCATCAAAGGAACATTCAATGTTCAATGCTGTTCCAATAACACGTTTAGACCTCAAAGCTTTCATAATCATTTTTGGGAAGGTGGCCAGATCCTTTTTCTAAAAAGGTATCGCACGAAGCGGGAGGATGGGGGGTGGGGTGTCTGGGCGATATCGAACACTCCTCCAGCAGAGGGAGATTCTATGATCGTTTCCACAAAAGAATCCACAAATTTCCTAGCAAAGGAAAACGTGATCCTTTCCATCATAATATATACGGGAGGGGGGGGTTTAATTCTATACACCTTAGACCCCCCCCCCCCCGCCACGCTATCGTACGCAAAACTTTTAGCCTTCAGAGTTTCATAATCATTTTAATTATTTTTGGGAAGATGAGATACTTTTCCCCACAATAGTATCATACAACATGTAGCACCGGGAGGGGGGGGGGGGCTGGGAAATCCATCCTTTCCATTTTAATATTAGGGGTAGCCCATACCCCACCACAGATCCCCGGGTGCAATGCTGTTGTGTTGTGTGTTGCACTAAACGTTGCACCGGGAGGTGTGGGGAGTATTGGGATACCGCTCACCAAAAAAAGATTCAACGTTCGTTTCCAAAAATACCATCATTTCTTAGCAAAAGAAGACATGATCCTTTTGATAATATATACTGGGGGGCCCAGACCCCCAGGTGCTACGCTCTCCTCCATAAAAGGTTTAGCCCCCAAACAGTGTTGCAAAATTCGTAGCACCGCAGGTCTGGGGTTATGGAATACCTCCAAGCAAAGAAAGAGTTAATGATACTTTCCAAAAAATACAACTTTCTTAGCAAAGGAAGATTGATCCTTTTCATCATAATATATATGGAGGAGGGGGAGGGGGTATTCTATACCATCCAGCGCTACGCTGTCACCCCATAAAACGTTTAGCCTTCATGGTTTCCTAATCATTTTAATTATTTTTGGGAAGATGACGAGATCCTTTTCCCCACAATAGTATCACACAAAATGTAGCACCAGGGGGGGGGGGGCAGAGAAAAATTCAATGATCGTTTCCTAGCAAAGGAGGACTTGATCCTTTCCATTCTAATTATTAGGGAGTAGCCCATACTCCACAGATCACCGCGTGCAATGCTGTACCCCACAAAATGTTTAACCCCAGGTATTTTTCTCCAAAAATGTGTTGCACCGGGAGGTCTGGGGGGTATGGAACACCCACCAAAGAAAGACTCAATGTACGTTTCCAAAAAATACCACAAATTTCTTAGCAAAAGAAGACATTATCCTTTCCATAATAATACATACTGGGGGACCCAGACCCCCTGGTGCTTTGCTGTCCTCCACAAAACGTTTAGCCCCCAAAAAGTGTTGCAAAAATTGTAACACCGGGGGTCTGGAGGTATGGAAGAATTAATGATAGTTTCCAAAAAACTTTCTTAGCAAAGGAAAATTGATCCTTTCCACCATATTATATAAAGAAGGGGGGGGGGGGGTTCCATACCCCGTGACTTCCCAGCGCTAAGATGTTCCGCTATCAAACGTTTATCCTCCTTTTTGGGAAGAGGGTCAGGTCCCTTTCTCCAAAAAAGTGTTGCACAAAACGTAGCACCGGGAAGTTTGGAAGTACAGAATACCCCCCACCCCCACTCTCTGGCCCGGCAAAAGAAGATTCAATGGCAGTTTTCAAACTACAAACCACAAAATTCCTCGCAAATGAAGTGATCCTTTCCATTATAATATATACTGGGGGCGGGGGCATTCCATACCTCCCAGACTTACCCCACGGCCCTACGCTGCCCCCTACAAAATGTTAACCCCTTAAGTTTTTCATAATCGTTTTTGGGATTACTGGGTCCTTTTTTTTCCAAAAAAGGGTTGCACAAAACCTTGCACCGCGAGGGGGGGGGGGGGGGTATGGAATAATCCCCGGCAAAGAAAGATTCAATGTTCGTTTCCAAAAAATACCACAAATTTCTTAGTAAAAGAAGACATTATCCTTTCCATCATAATATATACTGGGGACCCGGACCCCCAGGTGCTACGCTGTCCTCCACAAAACGATTAGCCCCCAAGGCATTCGTAATAGTTTTTTGTAAGACCACCAGGTCCTTTTGTCCAAAAAAGTGTAAGCACCGGGGGTTTGGGGGTATGGAATACCTCCAAGCAAAGGAAGATTCATCCTTTTCATCATAATACATAAGGAGAAGGGGGAGGGGGTAGGGTATTCTATACCCCGTGACCAGCCAGCCCATAAAACGTTTAGCCTCCAGGGTTTTTATATTCGCTTTTGGGAAGAGGGTCAGGTCCTTTTCTCCAAACAAGTGTTGCACAAAACGTAGCACCGAGAGGTCTGGAAGTATTCAATGATAGTTTTCAAAAAACCACAAAATTCCTAGCAAAGGAAGTGTTACTTTCCATCATAATATATACTGGGGGCGGGGCATTCCATACCTCCCAGACGTACCCCACGGCGCTACGCTGTCCCCCCACAATACGTTAACCCCTCAAGGCTTTCATAATCGTTTTTGGGATGACTAGATCGTTTTTTTCCCAAAAAAATGTTCCTCAAAACCTAACACCGAGAGAGGGGGATGCGATACCCCCAGCAAAGAAAAATTCATTGATCCCCCCCCAGTGCTGCGCTGTCCCCCACAAAACGTTTAGTCCCCAAGGCTTTCATTAGTTTTTTGAAAGGCTACCAGGTCACTTTCTTCAAAAAATTGTTACAAAAAACGTACAACCCGGGGGTCTGGGGGGTATAGAATACCTCCTAACGACGGAAGATTCAATGATGGTTTTCAAGCAAAAACCACATGATCCTTTCCATCCTAATATTGGGGAGTATCCCATACCCCCAAATTTCCGGGTGCTACTCTGTTCCCCACCGAAAAGTAATTTGATACGCCTTAAACAGTGTGTATCGTTGTTCTTAGGACAAACGTAGCACACAATTTTGAGTAATTTAGTAAAGAGTAGCATAAAATTAGCACGAATTTTAGATATTCCTATGAATTCGCCAGCAAAATACGGTTACATTGTCACAAGAGTGTTTATCCATCCTATGACAACAAAGATTAGCACAAAATTGTGAATTAGCACGCACAATTGGGACAGGACAAAAAATTTATTTGAAGCTAGCACAAAATTAGCACAAATCTTTATAGCAAGGTAAATGCAAGTCTTACTAACAACTAGGAGCAATTAAATTTGTAGTGCCATATAAAATATTATGTGATGCTGTCAGGGTAAACTTAGATCAAAATTGTGAG